ATACCCGATTCACACTCTTGAAACTGCGCAAGTGCGAAGCGACCATACGCCATTAGCTATAGAGTTGACAGTATCAAAGGCCAGACGAATTTTTAAAGCTTCGCAGAAGCACTTTGATCGACACAAGCTTCAGGCAAGCACTCCACAGCAGCTGGACCAAATTCTAGCAGACATTCGAACTCCGCCATGGCCATGTGACATTGAAAGACACGTTGCGGTATTGTCTGATCAGATCGTGTCACGACTGGTTAAGGCCTTCCCACCGGATAAAGATAAGCCTCGACGATCGTACATCTCTGATGCGGCCTGGCTTCTCCGCAAAGACCGGCTCATGATTCGACATGGAATGCAGTCGATTCGTGAGCAATGTAGAGTTCTTGCCCTCCAGACGATTTGGGAGAGTTGGAGGAGTTGGAGGCAATGTGATGCTGAATGGTGGCCAAAGAAGCTTTTGATACGAACCCTCGTTTTGCTTTCTAGGTTTCGAGAAGCCCAGCTTCAGAGTGCCGAGCTGACCAAGACCCTCAAAAAACAACTGCGAAGGGACCGCACTGATTTCCTAGAAGACTTGGCAAGACGGATGCCGCGCATGAAGCAGCAAGATTTTTTCAAGCGCTCCGAGGGGCGGGTGTTCGTAACCCCAAGAAATCATCAAATATTCAACCGTTGCCCATGGTGCGTAACGATCAAGGTCAAGTCGTCCAGGACTTTGACGAGCTCTCGAATATCTGGAGGCAGCATTTTGCTCGTCAAGAAGATGGTGTGCAGACCACGGTGGAAGAGCTGCTTGCTCGATGTGACCAGCTTGACCAGAGAGAGAAAGTCGTCCCCGCCTGGAGTGACTTGCCCACGATCTTCCAGATTGAGAGACAGTTCCGAAGGACAAAAAAGAACCGAGCATACTTCCTTGACGGAATCCCTGGAGACATTTTGCATATGGCGCCTGCCACTATGGCCTCTTTGTATTTCCCGCTTATTCTAAAACAAGTGGTGTGTCAAAGAGAAGCCTTCGTCTTCAAGGGAGGGTTTCTTGTTCCGGCTTTTAAACGGGGAGACCCTGGTAGCTGTGACAATTATCGAAGCCTTTTCGTAAGCTCGCCAATTGCAAAAGCGCTGCATGCTGTATACCGGAAAACCTTGGTGACGACTTTTGAAGGCAACCGCCTACCGCTCCAGCTGGGCGGTGTCCCTGGTTTCTCCATCACTCAAGCAGCTCATATCCTACGTTTGCACCAGTCTGTTGCACATCAGACAGGTAAGAGCTTTGCGGTGCTTTTTGTAGATGTTAGCAACGCCTTTTATAGCCTGATCAGACGACATATTGTTGGATCGGCTGCAGATACCCGGAATGCATATGCACTGTTCAAGGACCTGCACCTGCCTGAAGATGCATGGATAGAATTTGAACAGCTTCTAGCATTAGGGCCGGCCATAGATGCTTCTGAGGTCGATGTTTTCACTAAGGCGATGTTCCGACAGTTCTATGAAAACACATGGTTCCAAATGCGGGGGAGTGAGATGATTGTACATTCACGACGAGGATCGCGACCAGGCGATACCTTCGCGGACGTCTGTTTTGGGTTCGCAATGGCCAAAATCCTGAAACCTGTGTTTTCTCGTTTGCAGATGTCCAGACCAGAAATTGTTGTCTCTGGTGGAGGCATTTTGGGTCCAGGGGCAAATAATGCAATCCAGCACGAACTTGGCATTGTTGCACCGATTTGGGCAGACGATCTTGCTGTGTCTTTTATGGTCAGACAAGCCATTGACCTGCTCCAAGTTGCTGGAGAAGTTGCAGGGGCGATCTTCGATGCGCTTTTTGTAGCAGGATTGGTGCCTAATCTCAAGAAAGGTAAGTCCGAGCTCCTTGTTGACATTCGGGGAAAGCACTCTGTACAAGTTCGGAAAGATTTGTGTGCTAGCAACTATGAGATTCCTACTGCTTCAAGCTTTGTCCAAGACAAACTGAGGGTAGTTGGTGACTATAAACATCTTGGTACTTGGATGCAAAGAAGGCAAAACCATGATAAAGAGTTCCGAACAAAATTCGCACAGGCGCATAATGTGCTGACAAGATATAAAACCCAAATCTTTGGTAACAAGCTGATGCAGTGGTCTCAATTTTTCGAGTCCTTAGCCATGTCAGTGATTTCGTATAATGCCGCAGTCTGGAATCTTGCCACGGCACGAGAGCGTCAGCATTTTCAGAAAGGTTTGTTCAAGCTTTACAGACGAGCTGCGATCTTGCATTTCGGTGCCCAGGCTATGCATTGGGGACAAGCAAAGATCTTTGTTGAGCTTGAGCTCCTACGACCTGAAGTGCTTTTAACCCAAGCAAGGCTCCGATATTTAGGACACCTAGCAGCCAAGGGCCAAGAGCTTTTTTGGGCAATGGTGCAAACTGAACAAGTTTGGTGGACACTCATCCAAACGGATTTTGAGTGGCTGCGATCTTTCTGCCCGACAGAGCCCTGTCCGTGCCCAACACGAGAATGGAACGACTTTGCTGACTATGTCTGTGAGGCGCCTATGAGATGGAAGAGCCTTATCAAGCGAGCTGTGAGACGCAGCCAAACTTTGCTGAGCGCAAATACAAATGGGCCAAATGGCACGAGACCATTTTCCGGAGTGTGCAAGCATGCCGTCTGGTGCCAGGCTGCGACTCTCGCCGAATACAAGGAGAACATTACTGTTTGCAATGTCGACGAGTTTTTGACTCAGCCGCAGCATGTGCAGTACACTCTTTCAAACAGCATGATGGACCCACGTTTGTCCGTGAATATGTCACAGGAACTGTTTGTGAGTCATGTCTGCGAGTCTACTCACGTCATTCCGACCTGCTGAACCATGTTCGATATAGCCAAGACTGCAAGCAGTTCTACTGCGATAGAGGACTAGCAGTTTTGCGAGAACCAGGTGTGAACAGCAAAGTCGATGATGATGCCCGAGGTACGTTGCCGGACCCGGTGCTGCAGGCAGAGGGTCCGAAGGCAATGCCACCGATGAACCAAGGGCACCAAAGCTATGCTCAGCGACAACGGACTGAATTGTGGAATCAGTGGAATGTTTCTTTACGTCCTCGAGTGAGCCAACATGCTCTGATCGAGCGGCTGCGAGAAGCGACAAGATCTACAACGCTGTATCACAATGAAATCCTTGTGAGCATGAGTGCATGGAGTCAGATGCCAGAGGTTGTTGAAGCTCTCACTGCTATGAATGCATGTGATGTTGTTCAGCAGTTTTTGGATCTGGCCTCAGCAGCGTGGTTCTTACAACGGGAGTTGCCTGTGGAGGTGCCAACAGAGACTATTGAGCACTTCTTTGCGACGCAAGGCCTTTGTCTAGACATGCTGCCATACATCGTGCCAGACGCGCCAAGATATAAGCCAAGGATGGTGGCACATCTGTTCTCAGGAACTCGTAGAGACCGCGACCTGCAGTACTATTGGGAACAGATGGGTTTCACAGCCCTGTCGATTGATATCATTTTCCATAAAGAGCTGGGTGATTTAGGGAGAGCTGCAACGATGGACTTTTTCCTGAAAGCCCTCCAATCTGGCATGCTTGTTGGATGGGTCGCGGGACCACCGTGCGAGACGTGGAGCAAGGCCCGCAAACACGAACTTCCTGGAGGACCGCGACCAGTTCGCAGCCAACAGATGCCATTTGGATTGCAAGATCTGACCTTCAAAGAGCATATCCAGGTCAGCACTGGAAGTCTCCTCTTGGGGATTTCCTTTACGCTTTTCTGGTTTAGTATTCTCTCTGGGGCGACCGCGGTGATCGAGCACCCAGCGGAGGTTGGACTTGAGCCCAATGATCCAAGTATTTGGAAACTTGATGTCGTGGCTTTCTTTTTACGCTTTTCGAATGTGAAGAAGATCCGAGTGCTCCAAGGGCACTATGGGGGAGCGACCCCCAAAGCCACTGATTTGCTCATCCTGAACGGTGGCAATGACCCTGAACAGATCCTTGTGCGACACCGCACGACCCAGTTGCCGAAAGCCTCGGCAATCGGCAAAAATGCCGATGGGTCTTGGAAGACTGGTGTGCTAAAGCAATATCCGCCGGATTTTTGTTCATGTTTGGCGTGGCTTTTCGAACACCAGTTGCGCAAGGAAGGCCCAGAATTGAGCCTGCCGAGTGATTTTCTGTCGACAGTTGAACACTTCGTACAGTCGTTCGATCAACAGGCTGCAATGGGGCCTGATTTCAACTCGGCTGCATGCAATTCGTAATTCAGTGCATACTGGTCACAGGCAAACGCCTTCGACGCACAGAAGAGGAAAAAGAGTGGTTTGTCTTTTTCTAAGGTTTTCGAACATCTATTGCAACATATGACCACCGAACCGAACGGAACCACCCCATGGGGGACACCAGCAGATTGCGGTGGGCCACTGTGTTTGGAGTTCAACTTGGGAACGATGGGCGGCATGACTCTATGTATGACTATATGTATGAAGTACTCTTGCGGAATTCTTTTATCTGCAAGAGCTTGGGTTCAGGGAGTCCCTGCAACGTGGTTTTGGACATGGTTTGGACATCCAGGAATTAGCCAGCTCCGCTGGATCTGTCCGATGATGTCCCATGGTATTGAAATGAGTTCAACAAGCGCCACACAGGAACCGTTCGGCACGAGACCACCCTTACAGGACAAAACGGACCGCCGGTGTGTCCCGACGCAGAGAACCTGAGGTTGTTGACTTGCCGAACCTGAAGCTTTCTGACCCCTTCGGACGGTGAGAGGCCACGTGGGGCCGAGGCCAGTTCGTCCGCTTGCTTCGTCTGGGGGCCACCCGCTCGAAAGACAGAGTTCCAGCATGACGTGCGACGTGCATGTTGGGAAAAAATGGGATCTGTTCTTCAAATCGTCCCTCCTCTTCTGCAGGTTTCATTGACCCGGAGAAGTTTCTCTCTGGTGTGCAGCCGTCTGAAATCTCTCTCTTTTCTTTGGAATCAAGACGCTCCAAGAACCCTCCCAAACCCACCGGGGCCGCCACATAAAACTGCAGGCGGTCAAATGGTGACCCATCACAAAGTTCGGCTCCTCGCTTTTCTTTCGCGGGCCGAAACAAGTCAAACATCGTGAAGACCGATGGGGTGGCTGAGGGGATGAATGGGTGCATTCTTTTGTCCATCTGTTTTCATGACTTTTTGCATGGAAGGACGACACCGTGGACACCTCTGGAAAGTTTGAGTGGCAACTTCCTGGTCTTACCCCACTGAGTGCTCATGCGGAACACACGCCAAAGACCTCAGAAATATAAATCAATCAAGACCTCAAGATGCCTGGCACAATTTGGATCCAGGACCTTGGCACCGTTTGACTGTCACTGAAAGAACTCAGCACTTCAAATCGAAAACCTGCCTTCCACATAGGCTCGCCTCGTAGATGATGTGATGATGTACTTGTTTGGATTGTTGCCAGTGAGGGGATCAAGCAAAGGTATCCCTGCCTTGGCCTGATGCCTACTTGGTGTAGGAGGCGCAAGCGCCTCATAGAGGAGGGTGATCCAATCTGGGACAACACCTGTTCTAGGGCGGTTTTGACCTGGAATCTGTTGACGCCCAGAAAATTGTTCCTTCTGCTTCTGCTCATGGGTAACAGGGTCTGGTTTTCACTCCATCAACGCATGCACCATCCGCACCCGTATGATGCCCTTCCGACCATCGAGGCTTGGGTGCCAAGGACCAAAACGGGGCAACCAAACAAGTCTTTGAATTGAACGACACACGTCTTTTGAACAGAAAAAGAATTGAATCACACAAATTCTTTTTCCGCCAGAAAAGACCTGAAACAATCTTAAGCGGCGCCAGTTGATGGCATTTGACTGCGGTTCTGACCGACCATGAGTGGGAGGACTGCGAAACATCGTGACGTTCGGAAGCCAAGGCAAAGAAAGGATGATGCCCCCCCACCGTCCCTGACATCTGGGATAGAGCGAAAGACCTTAGACATGTCGTCACCATGTTTTTGAGTCTTACACAGAGATGCCATGCGTGCCACCTTACTTTTTCTTCTGATGTGGAATTTTCTGACAGCAAACTTAGTTGAATGAATTGAATGCATGGTCTTTGATTCACCAAGAACAACAAATTCAACAAATATAGCTGGATTTTGGTGTGTGGCCATCCTTCCCGACCTTCGCTCACGCACAAAAATAGGGGTCCAACCCAATGAACCGCCATCGCTAAGTAACCACCAGTTGAGTTGCTGTTCCGTGTGGCTTTGAAGACAAAACATGCATTGACTGTATATCCCTTCCCGGAAAGCGGTGGAACACGAGGTATGGCAGTGCAGGTCCGGTGAAACCAAGAGGTCTGGTGGCCTTCAAACCCCAACTCTCGTTGCCTGGGCTAACTCTCGTCTCCATCTAACTCGACCAGATCCAGCTGAGACCAGTGATGATCCCCAGTCCTGCTGAGCAAAGACCAATCCTGACGCTTTCCGCTTCCCCAGCGTATCGGAGAAAAGACTCTGCTCTGAGAAACCGTGGACGCCCTTGGAACGCATCGGTCTGAGGTTGCCGTTGCTAGCCTTCGAACAGACATGGAGAGGTAGAGAGGTCCTTGTTTCTTGAGCAAAACCAATAGGAAACATCGTCATCTACCCACTGAAACCCATCCAATTCGACTCATGTGAGCCTCACGTCTTGCTTTGGTCATATTCCACATGACCACTTTGATTGATATCATTGAACTTCCTTATTGGGACTTCCCATGCACTGTAAGAGTGGATCATGAACAACTGGGAGGAGGAACAACAAACTGTGGAGTGGTGTCAGGGTTTTCTTGAGAGGACACTGATAGACTTTACTGATCTAAAACCTCCATGCAGTCAGTCCACACCCACCTTTCCCATCTCAAACTCTTTGCAGCCCAAACCATTTCCGCAAGGGGCCTAGGTCATTTCAGGGAAGCTGACCATTGACACCGGTAAACCTGCTCTAAAGAAGAACGGTCGCCTTATATTGTCCCAAGAAGGACATGAATGTTGCCCTTCTGATCTGGAATCTGGAAGTCTACCTTGTTCACACTGGGGGCAGCCTTCAGAAAACGTAAGCCTCCGGTTCCTGAGCCCATACACCTTCCACATGATTCCAACAAATTTTCGGCAACAGAAAACCAACAAAAACATATAATTACAGATTCGATCACCCCCCAAAAACTCTCCAAATCGACCGACCAACGCCTTTTCCGCGGAAACCACCGCCACCGCCACGGGGAACCGCCACGCGGAAGCCACCGCACCCCCCGGATGTGCCGCCTGGATGGCTCATGTCCAGCTTCATCGAACTCGCGGGGACGTCCACGCGATCTGCCCGGTGGAGGCGGCGGTCATCGCGGTGACGGGCGCGGTGCGTTCCCGTGCTCGTTGTGTGTGGGTTTTTGGGGAGGTTCGAGTCTGTGGCACGGTCAGTCGAAAGGAGTTCGAGTCTGAAACACATTTTCGATCACCTGGCACGTCGAACACCATTGAACGGAAGAAAACACAATAGATGTAGACAAATTCCCTGCGTCGCCCAATGAAAAACCAGAAAACCGCAACCTATCTACCTCAAGGCCAAAAGGTTTCGAAAGTCTCCGCAGCGATGCGTGGAAGGTTCCATCATAGTTTGGGAAATTGTAATGCCGATTTGGGCGCAGTTTGCAAGATCCCCATATGCTGCCCTAGTTTTCGAACTCGCCATGCACACATGGCACAGGCTTTGTTAATCGGTCGTGAGGCCCGGAGCCGCCTGATGGTTTGCCATCCTTTCGCGAAACCTGTTTTTCCCCAAACAGTGTGGTCACACTAGGGGTTCTTACGGCACCGGTGTCTATTCGAGGTGTTGCGCATCCGGGTCCGGCTAATGCGTTGCTATTTGCAGTGCATTCACTCTCAAAATCCTCAAAGTGCATTTCGACTGCACAGGCTCGGAAAATCTGGGTGGTTGGAGCGGGTGCTTGTCGCGACTGCGCTCTCGTTGTGGTGCCGCACGCATTTTCGGACATGATGGTCACTGTTCGTGGCAGGCACAAGGGAAACCTCGTGTTTTAGTGGTCCAAAGTCGACTTTTCATGACATGATGAAAACAAAAACTTTTAGCCGTTGTGCTTCTGCCACTTCCTACGACCCTGCCTTAGCCAGGAATGTCATGAAGGACAAGTCTTCCTGCGACACTCTTTGCGTTTGCGTTGCCGTGCGACAGGACGAGGAAGAGCCAATGACCGCCGTCGAGGAGCAGGAACACGTAGGATTCCCCAAGGTCTTATGCAAGGGATCGGAGCGTTTTTAAATCGAAGTGCAGACTTCGTGGCAGGTGCAGCACTTTGGACATGGTGATTGAGGCGCTCTGATTTCGTCAGGTGCAGCGAATCCTGACTTTTGGACATGTGGCTCGTTAGCAGGTTTCGCGGCAGGCGCAGCACTTTGTGAACCTCAAAGTGCAGAGTTCGTAGCAGGCGCAGCGCTTTGTGAACCTAGAAGTGCAAATTTCGTAGCAGGCGCAGCACTTTGTGAACCTAGAAGTGCAGGTTTCGTGGCAGGCATAGCACTTTGTGAACCTCCAAATGCAGATTTCGTGGCAGGCACAGCACTTTTTGAACCTCGAAGTGCACATGACGGAAAACGCTGTAGCCCTTGGAAGTATTATCGTAAGGGAAAGGGGGAGGTGGGGGGGGCCAGGCTGATTTGCAGACCGTGGGGGCCATGTTCGAAGGTGGATAAAACATTGTATTTAATTTACCATAAAAAATGGCATTGGGTGGGTTTGTGTTGAGCTTATTCGCCTTCAACAAGTTGCATTTTACTAGAGGCCCTTAAGGTCCAACCTGGCACCGGGTCGTGCCCCAACTCCGCTCTCATTTCCTCCCACACAAACATGGTATTTGCTCAATGCATTTCGATTGCTGGTGCCCAGACAATGCGCCACCGCCCTGCTCAGCTGCAAATATTGAGTCAGCTCCACCTGGTCGATGTAGCTGCCAAAAGCAATTGGAGTTTCGGGCGCACTGCACTCCCAAAGGATGAGAAAAGGTCCATACCCACCAAAGCCCGGCGCAAATGCCATAATATGGCGGATGCAGAATGGGATCGTGGGCGACTGGCTATCAAGGAGGAGCTGGAAGAAGGGAGTGGTGCTTGGTCGAGAAGGAGTTGGCGTTGTAAGTCTTGGAGTTCAGCCCATCTGCTCTGTGGAGAACCCGGCACGTCTGGCCATGTATTGCCAGCTTGGTCTGAGTCCACAGCGCGACTCTCAGCTTCCAGTGTTTTCCTCTCTCTTCGAAGTTTGGGTTCAGTCTTGAGGTCGACCAGTAGGCATTCTGCATCAGCATCCCAGTCGTCCCAGTTGGCGTCTCTTCATGTTGGCCCAGAGCGATGTCTTCAAAAGGCATCCTCTGGCGGCTATGCCCATTCATGACCCGCAGCGCAGTTCCGCTGCGACGAAGCTTTCTGCCAAAACTTCTTCGTTTTTGCAGTTCCACCCGGCACAGATCACTACCTGCATGGGAGGCAGTTTTTGAGGTTTATCTTTTTTCAAGCATTCAAAGGCATTGAAGGGCAATGCGCATAAAACACTGTGAAAGCAATGAAAAAAATGAGGTCCGACAAGTGTAATGAAGGTGTTTTTGAGAGCTTTTGTTTGCTTATGAAAGCTTGCTCCGTGGGTGGTCAAAATTGGGGCACGCTTGTGCCAATCTTCCGCGATCTTGGTGCATTCTTGAGACATATCCTTTTCCATATTGGCACGTTTCACCCAATGTTGGGGCTCTCTTGGGGCTTCTCGTGGAGGTATGTTGGAAGTGATTGGGGCCGTGGGATCTATGTTGAAGGCTTTGCTGCTGTTATTTTACATTTTTGCGGGGCGATGTTACGTGATGTTTGTCCACTTGGCTGCCTTTTTCTCTGCTGCTGCTCCGCTTTCCGTGTTTTTCCGAAATGGTTTGCAGATTTCGCGGCAGGCACAGCACCTTGTGCTCTCAGATGCTCACTCTCACTCTCACTCACATTCACACTCACTCACTCACTCACCCACCCACCCACTCACCCACGCACGCACTCACCCACGCACTCACACTCTCACTCTCACTGACTCCCACTTACTCGCGGCCTTCAAAAAAGCATAGAAAAACCGATCACAGAAGTCAAGAACGGACACGCCGCACGCGAGACATTCGCTCCACGAGGTTTTCCACGAGGTTTCCCACGAACGTCAAAAGCCGCGCAAACCGCGAACGCGCCAAAAAAACGCGTCGGGTTGAGGCCTTTGGCGACGTGCAGCCGAAAGCCCTGCGGAACCCAACCGCGATTCGTCGAACGGCGATTCGTCGAAGGGTGGGGGTCCGAACGCTGGTGGTGAACGGCGTCCAGTGGATATCCGGTGGGTCCAAAGCCTTGGGAAAACATGTTGAAGCAAGAGGATGTTGGTGGACACCTATGGCACCACGAATTGGGACCACTTGTAGGAGCCTGAGGGTGACTCAGGCAAAATTGGACATGAGACTCTGAAAATTCCAGCAAGTTTGGGTATGTCGACTAATTGCGTTCTGTTCGTAAAGAACCATCCTCCCTTTGCCAAGTGCATGGTAGCAAGCAACACAATCTCAAAACCAAGTCGCCTTTATTGCAGGTGTAGCTTTGAATATGTCACCCCGTATACAGCAAAATGATGGCTAATCAAATATGTTTCTGTGTTTTATGCAAGTAAAGCGAGCTCGTCACTGTGAGGGCGCGCTTGAGCTTGCAAGAGTGTCCAAGTATACACACCAAAAACTCTCATATTGATGAATGCCGGATGTATCATTACACGCGGAAAGCAAACACAAGCACTCGTGTGATAGAAACATGCCAACCAAGATTTGATCAAGAGCAAATCACTCTGTTACATTGAGATTCACTTTCGCTACATAACTAGTTTGCCCCTCAAAAAGTCTCACTCTTAGACCTCACGTGCGTCTTCTTCTTCTTGGCCCATATGCTGATAAGCTTAGACTGGAAGGTCTTGCCAATGGACTTCTTCAAGCTGGACTGCTTGGCCACGGGTCGAGTAGGGGACGGCTGGCCCTCCTGGAACGCGGGCCACGTATGACTGGATGGATGGGACGAGACGTATGACTAGGCATGGAGGGATGCACCCTCGGTCGACGTGTGAGGCTTTGACCAGACCGGTCGTAAGAAGAACTTGTGCTGGTCGGCTCGCATTTCGTGGTCGATGGGAGAGACATGGCAAAACGATGCAACGATCTGCTCACAAATGGAAGTATGCACCTTGTGGATGCGTTGCTCAAGTTCTTATCTTTGCCAAACAGATTATGTTGCACTTAAAAAAATACATTCTACCATTTCATTTTCGGAAATAACACTGGAAGACAAGACGTGGATTGCGAGGGACAGTGCAGGATGTATGACTTAATCTATTTCAGATTCTCTTGGGATGCTGCCACGTGCTGCTTTCAATCACAGGCTCTATCATACGCAACGCATACCCACTTGGGGTCTGTCGCCAAGTTGAATGCTCGATGGTTCGTCATGCGGCATCATGGTGGCCTCCGGTTCCATGGTGAGACCTCCAAACGACGATGATGCGACCTGATGATATCCCAGACACGACCTGCTTGGGACTGCCATAGGACTGCCGAGAAACGGCCAGGTGGTGCCATGGGGGTCAATGGGGCGGAAGTCCTATGGCAGTCCCATTAGTCGTGTCTGGGTATGGGTCACGACTGAACATCCATCCGTTGTGGTACTACGAGGGCGGACGGCACGCAGCACGCCGGGGGCTTCATCACACGGCATATGTCCAACAAGGGCCAACGTTGTCACATGCTGATGGGTTGGCTGAAGGAAAGATCGAGCTGCGATGCGATAGGAGTCACTACATATCGTTCTTTACAGCTGTGATAGGAGTCATACATATTGTCACTACATATGCGATGCGAGCTGCGATAGAAGGAGTCACTACATATCCAAATGCTCTTTCTTGATCAAAGCAACCTTCAAGTGGACCACCTGGTTGAGGCTTTTTCTTATTTTTTCTTCATCAGTCCACTCCCATGAATTGATTCCTGTTGCTTCTCGCTCCACCGTCCACTCCATGAACCGGTAGCCATTTGCTCGGGCTAGGTCCAGCGGCACTTTTTTTTTATTATCAAACCTGGGTTTGATTGTCCAGAGTCTCAACTGCATACCGCCCATCTTGTGCAGCGTGTCGTTGAAAGCCACTTCAGCCACACCGGTCTTTTTATGGGTGCTCCAGTCAAACCGCATGGGATGACCATGACATGTGTTCACGCAATCCTTGGACCACACCTGTTTTCATGCGCCACGCGGACTGTGCGGTGCGCTCTGAACATAGAGCATCGGGTGCAGTGCTCAATTTATGATGTGAGTGGCAGTAAGACCTACGCAGATGATTCCACGTTGCCACCACCACCAGCAGGTGGTGGTGCGATTGTGACTCTCCTCTAACAAGGATGAACTCACCCTTAAAAGGACGGAACTCTGACATAAATGGTGTACTTTTCAGAGGGTCACTTGTTGGAGATGTGAAGAAACAGCGTCCACGTAGTTAGGCCTGGCATCAGGTTCAGAAACACTTTTGGACGCATATGGCATAGGAAAATGGTGACCTACTGATGATAAACGAACCCCTTGATCCGCACCCCAAATTCAAACGAACTAAAAAGCATACAACAAAAACCCTCCCCCGGTTGACATTGGAAAACAGGAGCTTCCAAGAAAAACCAACAACCACGCCCTTGGGCCCCTTGAGTTGTGGCACCCCCCGCCACACCTCCTCGGAGGACGGCTCCTTCGCCACCGGAGCGCCTGACGCGCACGGCGAAGCGACGCCCCCAGGAACAGCATCTGGCATGTCTACGGGGCAAACATGGCACACAGGAAATTCCGTATGGATGGTGATGGGCTGTTGTGGTCGAGAAAGTGGTCGAGGATCTCTTGCTGGGATTCGGGAGTGATTTAGGCTGTCCCCCTGGCTTGCGATGCTTGAACTCATGTTGGCCAAGTTCCCGCCCTGATTACTGAACCCACCACCCGTTTATTAATCAGAGGTCAACATTACTTCTACTTGCCCGCATAGTGCACACATCTGTACTGCTGCTGAAATCGGTCGAGACCTTGTAACCACAGTGGAGGCGAAACTGGCCAAGATCCATGCAGGAACCAAAAACCATTTCAATCCAGCTGGCTTGTTAGCTGTTAGCACACATGTCCGAAGCACCAGAACTGACTGTTTGCTGATTCTCGTTTGGGAAAAAAACTGATGCAGCAGTTCCCTTGTTGAAGGGGTTTCACCATGAAATTCACCGCAATTCAAAGCAACCGCAATTCTTCGAACGGTGTAGGTCCGATCGAACGGCCGAACCCGCCACACGGGAACGTGTGCAGGTGCGGTTCGGGGCCGAAAGGAAACGGTTCGGGACCAAGCCGTGCCAAACCCCCAAACTCTACCAGGTAGATGAACGCAATCCTGAACAATCTGAGAAACATCGGCAACACATGTTCGGGGGACTTGCCGGGGGGGCGTATGAATACTAGCACCATCTCGATGGAAATGGATTTAAAAGATTCTGCCTGTTGACGACGTGTTTGGGGACTTCCAGATTCATAGGAACCATTGGAAACAAACGTAACGCCACCAACCAATGCACTCCCGGCTTCCGCGCGTGCGCAGGTCGCCAGAAATACGGTCCAAACACGACACGCACCAATGCCTCCAAATGGAGGTCCTTTTGTGTAAACCAACTATCGTACCCCCCGCGCAAATGGCTCGAACCCGTTGGCCGAAGCTCATCCATGACATACAAACACCCACACGACTAATCCGCGGCCTGTGCTTGAGGGTAACCGCACCGAGAAGACAAAGGCCGGCACTTCGGGTTCCTCCTTGGTGAGCAATCGGGGATGGATTAAAGAGCGTGACAGGCAAGGTTTTTATTGAAACAATTGGAAATCACTTCGACACAAGGTCGATATCCTGTGGGCCTTGCCGCAAGGTCGATGTCTTGTGATCGCAAAGCTCAGCCTCCTGCATGCAAGGCCTTCCCGAAGCTGGCGCCCAAGATCATCTGGTCTTGCTTTGATGGCACCCGACCATGGGGGCTCCACCATCTTCTGGAACGCCAAGTCAATCTATAGCCGTGGTAGCCCCAACGCCAGTGTGCTTGCAGACATGGCGCGTTGAAGGGGTCCCATCCAAGGGGCGCCTTTGGGCGGCGGATGGGGGCGGCACTCGTTGCCACAACAAGCATCAGTGCGCAAGCTCGATGAACAGGGCTCCCGAGCCTTCCATTTCAGTGCGCTGGGCTGCCTCACACGTAGATGTTCATGAGTTGGGCTGCTGTGGCCGCTTCAGTGCTCTTCAGTGCCCTTCTGGTAGTTCTGTGACTGGGCTGGAAGCGTTGTTCAGCTTTGTGACTTTGTTCTGGGTCTTTTTGCTTCGCGCATTCTTTCAGTCGGCCTGCAAAAGTCTCCACGATTTCACAAGATTCTCATTGATACCTTGAGTCTCCAATGACCCTTTTAAATTTGCCTTTCCAAGAAAAAGAGGTTTCTGAAAGAACATATTTTTTGCAGATTTCACGAAATGTTCCTTTTTTTGTTTGTGCCCTGTCAGATCCTCCTTAGACAGAGTCCTGAGACCTTTGTTCTGCGTCTCGAAGGCGTCCAACACGCATGTTTCGAGCAAACACGCAAAACAAATTGGACCAAAAAACAAACACGCAGAACAAATGGGTCTTTGGAGACTCAAGGTATACATACGTAATTATGGATGTTGTCGTCGAGGCGAGTTCCTTAAGGTTCTGCGAAGGAAGGACCACGCAACCTAGCCCCGCGGGATCCTTCCAGTGGAGATGGGAGACCGGAACCAATTTTGCTTGCTCACGCATACAGCGCATACAGCTTCGCAAGCTGGGACAGAAAAAGAGCTGGCGCCGCTTGAGAGCATCGAAATCCACCGCAAACAATCAAACCATTGGTGACATTTCGTTGTAGCTATATATGTAAGTCTATTTTGATGTAAACATACGATGCAAAGACATGCCATGTCTGAAACCGTATTTCCTTTCTGGGAATTATCACCACTTTCGAACAACTGTTCCTTGGAAAACCGCATGAAAGTGCTTCACATGGCTTTATATATATATATACACATATCATATATATACATGTCTAGCTATATACGTCTCACTTCTCATTTGGACGGCACCTTTCCACCCGGTTCTCGCACCAGCTGCAGCTGCACCAGGAACCCCCCCGCGTCCTCCAGCTCCTGGGACCGCTCCATCGGCATCTCCTGCGGTTTGCGGACGGACTCGCGTGGCGCGGTGGAGGTGTGGTGGATGCTGTGGCCTCGGTCCGGAAGGCGCTGCAGCTGTGCCGCCAAGGCGCAGCTGTTGGGTCGTTTGCAGATTTGTTTTGGGGGGAGGAGGCTCAACTTTTCACAAGCCTCCAAATAAGCTTGGCAAGGTTTACAACATGCAGCATAGTTGGCAGCTGCAGCGAGGTTGCAGCTGCACAAATCCCAAATGACACGAAAACAGGTGGACAATCTTTGATGACACGAATTCCTTCTCCCAGGTCTGCCGATTCCACATGTCATGGGGAAAGAACATGAAAGAGAGACTGGACCCCTTCTTCACACTGGACATGTACGCGCATCTCCCACCAGCTCAAGAAATGTCGTGTTCTTTTTAACCTTGGGTGGGGAAAACTGTCCGGGCTTCTTGCTCCGTTCGTAGCGATGCCCTTTGTTACTAGTAGCTTCTTGTTCCTAGTAGTAATGCCAGGAGCTACTAGTAACAAGTGCATTTCTCCTAGTAACAAGAGGCTACTCAAAACGCTACTAGTAGCTCCTGGCATTTCTACTACGTAGTCTACAACAAGCTACAATTTCTAGTAGCGATGCACTTGCTACTAGTCACTAGCCCTTCCGTGACCCTCCCTGCACACCGCCGACCAAGAGCGTGAACGGTGCCAACGAGACCTACCCAGTGGACGCAATGCTGCACCGACCGTGTCGACCTACCAAAAGCTCCTTTGGCGCTGGTGCGACCTCTTCCAGAGGAGCAAGGCCTTAGCGAAGGACCGATTCCGCAGCGATGGTTCCGCAGGGCAGTAAAGCATCGATCCCTGCAAGTCAAAGACCTCATTTTACTGGGGATGGTCATGCAAAACCAATACTTAAGGAGGTAGGGCAGACCAGTCTTTGGACTTGTAGGGGATGGATATCGGTCAGTTGGGGCAACCGAAGAACCGGATTTTGGGGGCCACCTCTATGGACCGAAGGCCTTCCCGATGGGTTCCAACCATGTCGAGAAGAACATGCAGCGTCCATCAGCGGGTGTGAAAACAATGCATCTTTGTTCCATGGCTCCCTCTGTGAGAGATTTATCCCTCTTCCACCAACGGATTCTTTTTTTTCCAAATGTTCCCGGGTTTTTGGGTTCTCCGATCCCGACAGGCACGCGACTCACCACCCGATTCTTGAATGTTGCCACCGACTCTTCTCCACCATGCCCACAAAAGGTAGATGGCACCTGAGTCACCCTAACTTGGTCAAGTACTGTGAGTTCAATTGGCAGGACCACACGCGCCATGATCCATCACTGTTCAAAGCGAAACATATCTCAACCGCTTCCTTTGCAGTGGCGATCTGAACTCGAACCACTCACCTGGCAGTGGGTCATACCTTGGAGCCCTCATCCCTCGGCAGCTTGACCTCCTAAGCGAAGTCAACCGGTCCGTCTCCTGGTGCTTTTGACCCACAGCCACCAACACAGCCCGACTCGAACCCAGCGCGGCGCCGGCCACTGTGGAGGTGAAACGAACCCTTGGGTGTCCCCGACGGACGCCCTGCGCGCCCGCGTGCGTATAGGCCAGAAGGCCTCAGAGATCGCGAGGGTGTGAGGGCGAGGGCGGAAAAAAACGGTGGAAGAGGCGGCGGTGTTCCCTGCGTCTAAGGAAAGAGAGAGAGAGAGAGAGCTGCCACAAACACCTGAAGCCATGCACCCAGAAACCTCCTCGGCATCCTCGAACCACTCTGTCTTAGGTCATTTGTGGGTTGGACTTCCGGCATGGATTGGCTTCATGGGGTCGACTTCAGGCGGGTTGAGGATGAAAGAAGAGAATAGGTGGAACACTCCGCCGGGTCGTCCAGTGGGGTCAATGGAACTTCCAAAACATGCTCCAAACCATCAAAGAACCATCAGACCTCCACCGATTTGAAGTCAAATGACCATGGCTCTATGGCTCCGTTTTTTCTCTTTTCTTTTTTTTTCTGAGGTTTTGGACTCTAAACACTTTCATGACTCGAAATGACCTCTGAATCTTCATGGCTCCAATCCCCCGAAGGCAGGTGCTTTTTCTTCAGACACCTCGATCGAAGGCGCTGTGCGTCACTCTCAGGGTGAAATGTTTGCACCTCGCTGGTTTTGGTTTCCCCGCACACAAGCTGCGAGTTTGGACCACGGAATGACATTTCAATGAACCCCAAGAAGCTGCTCGTTGCCGGAGTGGCTAGAAGAAAAGGACACTCACACAAGACGTTCGTAATCTGTAGCACCTGTCAGACATAGCACCACACCCCGTACTTGCACACAAGAGGTCGGTTGACTTTGACTGGAGGCTCTTAAGTCCACTCTCCACCTATGCCAAGTGAAGGGGAAGTAGCTAATTGCCATTTCAGTACGACGTGCAGTGCTTTTGTTGGTGCTTCCAGTTGCTCCAAGCGCCACGGCCGCTCGCGAACGCTTCCGGCGTTCCTCCGACCGGTGGGGTGCCCGACCGTGACTGCTCCATGCCAATCTCACGATCCAATCCTGGCCATACGAAGAAGCACGTTTGGGGGGACGTTTGGGTTCCAGAAGTTCTCAACCAGCAGATGTGTGTCATCCCACTAAGACCTTCTAACTACCTTCTACTACTACTTCTAGATCTCTTCTACTTCTACATCTACATCTCCGCAACATCTGCTTCTACTAAAAATTAATAATCTGTTTGACGTCGATCTTTTGTCGATTTTTCCATCTACTGGCCGGTTTTCTACTTTTCCTTTCCGTGGGGGGGTGCAAATGCTTGAGAAATGGCCCAACACATGGACAGAAACGAACCTTGTCCTGGTTCATTGACCACATGTTCAGGGGACAACATGACCACTGCCCCAGTAAAGCAAGGAGCATCTTCTCAAACTCCAGAGACTTTTCAATAGTTCTGTTTCGAAGAGACCAATCCTATAGATAGAACTCGGGGGTTCTAGAGATCTACATGTTCAGCGTTTGGAACCACTGGTTACTGGTTACCAGCTCTAATGGCTTGCTTGTTGGATCCATTGAGAAGTCTGGCAACCTGACACCAGTCCAAACACTCCACCGCCAGCTTGCACAGCCGGTCTGCAGCAACAGCCAACACTGGTTCCTTTCCCCGACCCCAACTGCTCAATGATTTTCTTCCAGGTCAACAAACAACAACAGAAGAAACCACTGCAAGGGGAAGAACATGGTCTTCTTCTTATGATTCCTATGCCTTCCTCTTGCAGCAAGCCGCTCCCGAACACCGCCAGGTTTGGACCTAGCATGGGTAGCCCCAAGCCCCAGCACTCTTTAGTATCAAAGCGCCGTTCAAGAAACGCCATTTAAAGAAGCGCCAACAGCTCTGTGGTTCTCAGTGCATTCTAAGAACATCCCAGGATCCTTTGCCAAAACCCGACGCAACCACGTCGACAGTTCCCGATATCCGTTGAATGGTTTGTCTGCACCATGCTTCAACATCACACCTGGGTGATAATAAGTCATACTATCCGGACGCTAAAGGTCCTAAACTTTTGGGGGTGGTGTCCAAAGCTCCCTTTTCCACAACCACCCTCATTTTAAGTCCACTAGAACCGAGTCGTTAGACAAGTGTTTGAGACACAACGTTGACCATGGAACAAGTTGGGAGTCTCCCAAAAAAGACATCCAAGGAGTCCTAAACGCCGCCCCTGATCCTCCTCTCCGCCCGCCTCTCGCGCGCTACTCCTTTTGGTCTTCGGCCCCTCTCCACCGACCAGCTCCACCACCACCATCGAGTCTCCGAGGTGAACGTGGACCGTCGGCGTTGGCCGGTTGCACGTCGCGTTTCGGGCCGAAGGCATGGGCTCAAGCAGCCGAAGACGGACTGGGCGCCCAAACAAAACGCCGGAGGACGTTTTTTGGGTCAAGTTCAGCACAGAGGCCGGTTCAGAGATGGAGGCGTCAAACTTTTGGGGGTGAGTCTGAGGTGGTTTTTGAAGGGAAGTTGGCACCACGCGACGTTCTTCAACACTCCATCGATGCAGCCGGTGAGGCGGCAGTTCACCCCCGAACGCCGACCATCCATCCGTCTGAGACCGGTTTCTAGGACTTGCTTGGTGGGTGGTGTCCAACGACGTTTTCTTCAACCAATGGGGTCTCTGTAGCTCCAAATCGGAAGACCTTCCAGTTCCAGCACCCCCTGGGTTCAAGTCGAAACTGGACCAGTCTACCCCAGGGGCCAGGTTTCCGCAGGTTTTAGGGGAGTCTTCCTATTGGAAGTACTCACTCAAATGGCCACTGCGGCTGTAGTGCGGCTGGAGTGATTCTCAACTCTGGCTCGTCCCCACTTGCTGGAACTCTCCCCGGCGCGCCACCCTGTATGAATGAACGGGGCAAAAGGGATCTTGTGCCGATGCCCCACATTCACACTCTGCTACACAGGCACCAGGTACCCATGGGTGCCAGCACCTACTTGCCATGAATCACTCTGCGGAATGGTCTTTTTTCTTGGCTAAGAACCGCCACATGACTTGTGAAAGGGTCAACATGCAGATGTTTTTCTCTTGGGCGTGATTCTTGGCTGAATTATATCGATTTATTGCTACTTCTGCGGAGGTTTCTCCCATGGCCGCATCCGCTTGGCACAATACGAGGCGACTGCTAGTCACTTGCTATCATATGAGATCCAAGAACTCCAGCGTCTATTAGGTTTTGACAGAAACCATCTCGCCTTGTCTTGTCTCATGACTTCAAACATCCAAGTTCTCTGTACTTTCTCGGGATCCAAAAATATCACAGTGTGAAAACCAGAGTTGGGCCAGTGTGCCCCAGTTGCTAGATCGACCAAACATATAGAAGGAAACTGCCCTTGCGCATGAACCAGACTTGCACAACGACTTCCTCAAGTAAAGCTCCCACCTGTTTGGCATGCTCTCGCCTCCCAGCGGTCCCTTTCGAGAAACCGCCGCAACGGTCCCGTGGTCGGCGGACCAAAAAACGCAGCTCCTGTTTCAGCATTCAAACGGCCAAGCTGCACGCGGTCTTCGCGTTTCTTCTAGTCCAGCACTCATCAGATTCAAAAGCGTCTCGGCGTCTGTCTGGGCGAGGGGCAATACGACGAGGGTTTTGGGCTGCAAGCGGTGACTGGGACGTGCCCTTTGAACAGGAACTGATCTATACAGTATACCTTTTGAAGGTTGGATCGGCATGTTTGCAGCTGCAGCAACCTTCCAGTTTGATCCTTTGGGGTGCCGAACACGATGGTCAAGACCAGGACCCTCCAAACCCACCCCAAACACCTTCTCAGAAGGTGCTTGGAGGCCTAGGGGGATTGACCAACTCTCCTTTTCGGACTTCCCTCATCCCCTTCCCCTCCCAAAAGGATCCCCTAAAAAACCAAGACCCGCCCCACCTGCGCCATGTCTCCGGAGACGTTCAGGCCCATCGCGCGGGCGGCCGTCCGCGTCCGCGCGAGGGTCGCCAGGCTCTCCGCCAGCGGCGGGGTTTCGGCAAGGCGCCGGGGCAGTGCCGCGGTGGGGAGAACCTGACGGTGACCGCGGTAGGAGGCGACCGGGAGGAGGGCGGGAGAACACACGTTGCGTGTGACGGTGGTTGTTTGGAAGATGAATAGCCCTATAGGAGCTAGAGGAGCTGTTGGGTGTCCTTGATATTCGGATGAATTCTGAAACTTCGAGGCTTCAAGTGGACATCGGAAATTCACCTGATGGATTGAGTAATTGCTCAAGGTCTGCTGGCAAACTTTGAAGGTCTATCCTAAGCGGCCTACAACATGTTATTATCACAACACTGGGACGCTCCACTGTTGCATTAAACCTTGCCCTGCAACATGTCTTCAAAACTAATCCCTAGGGCTCCAAGTACCTCCTCAGAAGGTGTTTGGACCCTCCAAACCCACCCCGAACACCTTCGAAACGAAGGCACGACTGGAGCCCGGGGGAATATCTGCTGTGACTGGTCTGTGGTCCAAAAACGTGAAGCCACCCCCAAGCGTCTGTATCGATGTGTGCGACTGCGTCTCTATCAACTCTGCTCCGCTCTGGGAGGCTAAGTCCGGGTAAACACGAAAGCCTCCACACACATACACACTCTACGCAGCTCTACGCAGCAAAGACCCATAGATGGAACTTGTGAGCTGAGCGCCCACATCTCCCCATGCTGAATCGAGACACCCACATCTCTTCGATCTTCTGAAGTTCCTGTCGCTTCGTTCGGGGCTTCCCAGTCTCATCCCTTAGGTCTTCAGATCTTCCGTCCAGCGGTCTTGGGACAGTGGAGGTCTTTGGGGGAGCAGTTACATCGTTCACATCGCATCTCCTAATGCACCATCCACGGATTTTACATTGGATGCGAAGCCCCAACAGAGGTTGTTCACCCCTTCATATCCTTTCCTTCTCCCTAGTCTCCCAGTTCCTAACCAAGCTCACCGGGAAGGTCACATCGCCGGCTTTTTACAATGCCTTTCTGTCCTTCTGCTATGAGGTACCTGTGTTTGAGCCAAACTCTTCTGCTTCAAAAGGTGATCCTTCATGACTCTCCTCCAACATGCGACACTGAGCCCGAGCTCATGTCCTCAATCCTCGTGTTGGAAGATTCTTTGGGCGACGGTCCACGCACATCATGATTGATCATCCCCAAACCGCTCTTCGGTGATGTGCCGCTTCTGGCGAAAGGAAGGTGTTGATGTGAGGGCGGAGGATATAGCTTTCGAAAGCTCCCACAAACTCACATCACCAAAACTACCGGCATCACCTCCTATGTCTCCCATGTCTCATGTCATGTCTCTCATCAAAAACAAAAAGGCTGGCTCCATATCTCCATATTCATTCCAAAATACCATCATGCCCACCACCTTCCTCCATCTCCCTCCCTCCGTCTGCCATGTCTGCCATCTCCTGGGGGTTCTTCATCAGCGCGTTGTGCCGGCAGCCCACATGGATCGCCGCTCCGTACGGTGCCACCGCCGCCGCGCCGGTGGTGATGGCGGCGATGGAGCCGGCGCAGAGGGCGTTGATGTCCAGGAAGTCTTCGCCTTCGAAGCCGAAGGAACGGACCGGATGGAAGGTACCGTACCACCAGCAGCACCACCGTATCACAGCAGACCAGGTAAGCACCCAGAGGTCGTTCTCTTTGTAGAGGACATGTTGGAAGGGCATGTGGTTTACCTTCAGGTTTTGAGCCGGTTCATCGGAAGGAAGACATCCTGCACTTGATGCCAGCTGCGGATCTGACTGCAAAGGAAGGGTTGGGCAATCTTCATCGCTGCCGCTTTGAATGCAACGCGGTGACTCTGCATTGTCCACGTATGGACATTTGGAGCCAACAAGTCCAAAGCTCTGAATTGATGTTCATGTGAGCAACCACTGTAGCATCCGCGAGATGGATCTCCAAAAGCAAATCAGTCTCGAAGCTGCAAATGGCGGTGTTCCATGCGAATGGAGTTACTTGCATCGCATCCAATGCCCAAAGTAGCTCTTCATCCAAGGGGAAGAGTGACTCTCGGTTCTGGGGTACTGTATTCGATTCGCTTCGGA